TCCCATTCAGAAGATTTCACCTCACTTTCTGTCCCTGTGATAATTGGATTTTGACAAATTTGGTTTGTTATGAAAACAAGGATTGGAGATAAACGTTTTAGTGGAAACTCCTTTTCCCTGTGGTAACTCTTTCAGGAGCAAATCTCCCTTCATATGGGTTGATTTCTCTCACTTCCCATTGCCTCGGCCCCATTTGTCACCATGCATTGTTTGTAAGTTTGATGTTTGTAACTCAGGAACTGCCTGTACATAGTTTTAATGTTAAAAGGAGAAAGCAAAAATGGGCACTGAAAACTCAGCCGTCTCATTCTAGAATGCCTCAAGAGCTGTGGATCAGACCCAAATATCTTACAAATAATTACCTTATCACAATTGGTTATAATTTTGATGTTTGTAACTCAGGGGCTGCCTGCACACTGTTTTAATGTTAAAAGGAGAAAGCAAAAATGGACACTGAAAACTCAGCTTTCTCATTCTAGAATGCCTCAAGAGCTGTGGATTAGACACAGATATCTTACAATTAGTTATAATTTCGACACTGTATCATCTGAGTGGCAAAAAAATCCATATCATATGTTGCTAATTTTACAAAACAATACACTTTTAAAACTGAAAACATTCCAAAGTGGTAACTTTTCCACAATAAAGGGCTTTTCATTCTATATTACTGTTGCCCAATCACATTTTCATGAGCTAAGGATTATTTTAAGGAAACCTATTAGGGTGCCAGGGGAGCAAGATATACCACTGTTGTTCAGAACTTCTTTTCCCCTTTGACCATTCAAGAAGTTCTCAAATAGATACCATTTGGTCTTTGTAATATGTCCAAATAGAAATGTTAAAGTCTCAACGATTTCATCATTTCCAACATTTAACTTGACCCCTCAATTAACTTTGCTTGAAAATGCTAGTACTTCCACTGAATAACATTTACACCGATTTCAAAGCCTTTTAACCTCGAGTCTAATCCTTCTCTCTGGGTGAAGAGCCTTGCTGAGGCCCGCAGCCACCAATGGCTTCTTTCCTTTATGCACAGACCATGTTGATGATGATAAAAAGAGACTTGAACATGTCCTGACTTCCTTCCAATACTGTCAGTGCTGTTGCAGCCTTTGCAGGTTCAGAACCCAAACAGTGCCTAGACCAAGATATTACCCAAACTTTACTGCCCGGAAACTCATCAGGAAGCTTATGGGAAACAGGAAACAGCCACACCTGCCACATATAGTCAGAAACTGCTCTTAGTATTTCTCAGTAAAGACCAGATCAGCAGGCTTATCTTCATGAGGTGACCGCTTTATCTTATTCCTCATTCAGAAAACTATAAACCTGCCTAGGTCAGTCAGTTATTATCAGCTAATATACTTTAACTACCATGGTTCCATCTTGCAGAATCCTGGCGTTTGCGGTTTGGTTGGCTGCTTAATGCTGGAGTACATACACAGTAATCTGGCAAACAACTCTGCCAGAGCAGAAATCCCAGGATCTCTTAGAATTGAATCAGGTCAGTTAAAGTATAATCAAATTGACATAACAAATTAGTGTAGAAACATTCCAAGATGCTGGATATGTCAACCATACTCTTTGACAGTAGACTGATCAAAATGCAGTTATTTCCTTTTCTAGTAACATACCAGAGGAGGATATCCCATGTACTAATGGAGAAGATTGCTGTATTTAGTACTAGTATTTTTAAAATGGCTTTAAACAGGTATGGTTTGTCTCAAATAATACATAAACAGTTTGTATTTGATTAAATTTCCTCTTTGACATACTGTTAAAGGCACAGAAGCCTTGCTCCTTTCCCTTGCACCTGGTCATCCTTCAGGACATAGGGCACATTTTGCATATCTAAACTGACCCTGGCAAGCATGAAAAATCTGGCATGGAATCTATCCCCTAATTTCCCTTCATGGGATAACTGACCACATATTTATTTATGAAGTGTTGGGATCCCTCCAGACCCTCTTTAATTGACAGCAGAAGGTAACATTTGAGACAAAATATAGGCATGTGACTAACATTGTCACTTTTATTCTTTGGTATGTCTTTTCACATTTTTGCTTTAATGAAGGAGGCCTTGAAGCTTTAAAAACTTGCATGATGGATTTTGTGCATTTTGGCCCAATAAAGCTATTGCTTTTTTGTGGGTTTTGATGTGTGGCCTACATAGCAATCCCTGAAGATGTTTGATGGTATCAAGGTTCTCTTTCCTGATAATACACTGTCCGTCTCATCTTCACTGTTTCACACTGTGCCATACTCCTCCCTCCCTTCTTCTTTCAAAAGGAGCTAGATGGAGCAATATATCCTTCTGAGTTGAAATTTAGAAATCTAGAAAAGGTTTAACTTCCAACCCTCCTTGGGTCACTTCAGCTCATGCCTAGAGTTCCTCAGATTCCAGCAAGATCTCAAAGTACACCATTTTGCTTATTTTAAGTGGGAGAAAACCTTTTCAGAAATTCTAATGAGCAAGGAGTCAAAACAAGTAGCTCTTTAATGGGTAGAAGAAGCTTCACAAATGAAGTGATGGCAGATCCTGAAATCTGAGAGCCAGATCAGATCTGACAAAAAGTGAGGCACCATCCATTGAGATGGTGTGCCAGACTAATGGAAAGGGGCAAGAGGTTCCCCTGAATTCTACTCAGACGGGACTTCCTTCAACAGGAAGCATATTTTAGTCACTACACTACAGAGAAATACCTGATTTAAATTAATAGTTGGTTAACCTAGCAGTTGGGCTGCATGAAATGGAATGTGCGACTTTGGGCAGGGAATTAATAACAAGGCGTCCCGAGGAAATAATTAGCAGGCATTGCCAATTTCCATAATGATGACAGTGTGTGTGTGTGAGAGAGAAAGCAACCTATTAAGTGGGATGAAGGGCAAGAGAGCAGAATATAAGACATCACAAAGAAAGAAGAGATCTGAAAACCTGACAATTATCTGAATGAGGCTGCTGGCTCATGTCCTGGTCACTCTGGTTGCCTATTTCACTGTTCTCTCAGCTCATGTGTATTTACGTCGCTTCCCCTTCCCCTGGGTGGCTACACTTAAAACCAGAGCACCTATATCGTGTTATGTATACCAAAAAGACTCTAAGCACCCAGAACTAGGATCTCTTCACTGCATAGGATGGGGATAAAGGGAAAGTATTGCAAAGTAAATCAGTAGGAAGCTATATTGGAGGCGTCCATCTATCAGCTCTAGTATCTGAGTGAATGCTTTTCATAAGGCATCCAAATTATGGTTGCCACAAGAATTCACAAGGCCTCCTGCAATGGGCACTTTCAAACTCATTTCTGTTTCTCCCATGGCGTGTTTCTGCTGAGCCATATATCTGCTTTTGTGGCCTACATTTCTCATTGGCAACATCAAGTGGGCAACTGATTTGGAAGGCTCCCATCACACTCTCCAGGACCCTGGAAGGCTTACATCCCATGTTTGCCTCCTTCTCAAACTTGGGATCTCTGAAATTTCTTTTGCCCCCAAATGCCCCATTATGCTCCTGAGACATCAGGGCTATAGAAACTACAGTTAATGTTAATTTTCTGACTTTTGGGGGGCAAACCGGGCCCTTCTTCCTGGCCAATGAGTTCTCCTTTGAGGGGGGAAAGCCATTTGAGCCTCAAAAATTTAAGCTTCCCCTCAAAAGCCAAAAATAATAGTGAAATGATCCATCTCAGAGTCCTGAAGGGATATAATAGGTCATGGGAACAAAAAAAAGAGTATATCAATTTGACATGAAGGACTGGGGCGGGGGGAGGGGGCAGTGCGAAAGTAGTCCCTGTTTCTTTTTCCATACTTGAAACAGCAAGAAAATCCACAAGAAAACATACCCTCTTTTCATACATTACATTATTAGCAGCCTGGTCTGTAGAGGAACAATCAAAGGCTCTTCCTGGGAAAGAAGGTTTTACTAGCCTGGTTTATGGTAAAAAGACTATAAGAGATGCACCACTTGGCATTGTGTGTACTATCACCTCTTGCTGGGAATGAAATTACTTTATGGAAGGGAATGAAGAAGAGACATAGAGCTGCTCTTTTCAGATGGCACCTCTGCCTCGACTGCAGGGTCTAATTTCAACTGCAGACTCACAATTTTGTTCATTCTTTCAAGCTGCATCTTTCCAGATACTCAAAACACAGTAGAGGAAAACAGGAGAAGTATTAGAGTCAATGTGATGCAATGGCAGACTTGAGGTAAGATAATGAATGAAAGCACAAAGATATCAGGTAACACGATGTTAAAAGAAATTTGTAATAATACATGAATTTTCACTGCAGTTTGCCTTTCTGGCATCCCTCTCAATTGACCAACTCTGAAAATTCCCTAGACAACTTGTTTCACTAGCTGAATGAATTTATTTTGTAACTGAAATCCTCCCTGAACCTGTCCCAATACATTTCAACAGTCTAGCAATTCTATTTGTAACATAAGCCAAAAAATGCATTGCCTGTTAGGTAACCAATATGAAAAGTAGGAGTTTAATCATATGCCCGTTTACTCCTAGATAAATGTAAAGAATTGCAGGTTTAGAAATGTAAGACTATTTTTTTTTAAAAAAAAGTCTCTCTTAGCAATTAATAATTAGCTCAGAACAGGCCTACTATTTGACAGCTGCTTGTACTAACTCTTATTTTATTTTAGTGGTGTTCTTGTTTTAATGGTTTGTTTGCTTTTATATGTTTATTGGACTTTCTTTATGCCAATATGTAAGCCACCTCAAGTCCTTTCAGGGAGATGGTGGCGGGTATAAGAATAAGGGTATTATTATTATTATTTTGATAACTCCCATATTTCCAACAGACTTGTTCCAAATTAAAACAGGCCCCGTCATAAAAAAATATGTTCATTTATGAAATAATCAGAAAACAAATCAAGAAATGGAGCCCACAGGTTTGTGATGTCACTCGACTTTCCGCCAACTCCCATAAAGCAACAGAGAAAGTGGGAAAATAATTCAGGCTAATATGCATTGTGCATTCAGTTTACTCACTTTGGGTCTCTTTAGAAGGGACGGACTTTTCCTTCTCCCCTTTTCCAGATCACTGACTCAGCAAATTAGAACAAGAATATAATTTAGCATTACAGCAGTTCTTGAAAGATACCAGTATCCCATATCTTCAACACCCAGATCAACCCCGTTCCCCTCCTCAAAGGATGCAATTCAATCTGATGTTAATTGAAAAACTATGAATGCAACTAATAAGAATGCAAGTTATCATATTCTCTCTGTAATACAGCATTAGTCCCTACTTGTACTGTGATGTCTAGAGCCATCTCTGACTAGGAAATACCTCAAAAAGGAGCATACCCGTTGCCCTACATTTCTGGCAATCATACACAGTAAACCTAGTTTATTTAGATGTTACACAACCCAGAGAAATGGGTCACAATCCAGAGATGGAGTCTGCATTTTCAAAGATAGGAACTGCAAACCCCACCCTACCACCATCAGGCACTGATGGGAGTGGGACTGATCAAAGGAAGAGGTTCAAAACCTTACTTAACCCCATTTTAAAAAAGTAGATAGCAGATTACTTTGCTTTTTTGGTGTTTCTCCATATTTGAGTCATGTTCTTAGCCTCTTTATCCCCACCCACCCCCCCTTGCTGATCACCCTTAACCCCAGCAAGGATACAAAACACATGTCTGCAATAGCAGCAAAGCTGGATTTTTAAGTACATACCCTTTCTTTGGATTGCAACCTGATAACTTTGCAGCTCCAGAATTACTAAAGCACCAAGTGAGTGGGAGAATCGGTTCAGGCATATGTGTACAGAAATCCTAGAACAAGGTTGCATTGCTTACATGCTAGAGAATGTCAAAAATGTGCACTACATGGCCACTTCTATTGAAAAGCAGGTCGGGGCATTACATTTGGAGCTGATAAGTGCTCAGCTTTTTCAATGGCTGTGACATCCCCCTCCCGCCCCATTTACAGAGTCCCAAATGTATATTTTTCCTTTTTCCACATGCAACAGTAGCTTCTGGGCTTCGAGGGGGGCAGCTAAAAGGGAAGAGAATGAAGCCACAGACAGAAACCTTTAGGGTATGGTAACTTTGGTCAGCTCTTCATCGTGAATCCAAGCTCTGGAAGTGTGCCAACTGTAATTCTTTCCCAAGGTTCTTACTTTTCTTGCTCTTCTGCGAATTACTTTGCAGATGTCAAAATATTATATTCATGTTCCTCAAGAAAAATGAATGGGGCATAGGTATAACGAATTGCATTTTGTGGGCATGGGGCACATTTTCAAAAGAGATTCTGAGTATACAATGGATAATATGCCTTCTAACCCCTACACTGCAATTCTAAAGTGAGGAGTAAGCAGCCTCAAACTTTCTTCATCTGAACAAATCACCACAGTAACACCTACATTTTGTCTAGGCAGACTAAACATTCCTTAACATTTTTGTTTATTGGCAACCTTTATGTCCTTACCTTCTCAGCTGGCATTTCAGGCTCATCTTGATTAACCAAGCCCTGTTTTTTTTGTTTGTTTTTTTCATTTGAGTTCTTCCATGACAGATTCATCATGACATCGCTGTATTTAGAACCAAGCCCTTCACACTGCAAGCAAGTCTTGGAGCTGCTCTCTGATTAAGTGAGCTCCGGTGTTCTTTACTAAGTCAAATCTCATTGACAAGAAATGTTTGCCACAGTAAAGGCTATGGTCATCAGTTTTCAGGAATCTCAGCTATCAGACAAAGTCAAGGTAATGTCTATGAGAAGATAAACCATTACCCTTCTCAAATAATTTCTGGGAAAGAAAATCTCATGCCATTTAAAGTGGGGTCACCTCTTCATGAAGATGATAATGGTAATGGTAATTGTAATGCCCTAGTCAATTACATTAATTTTCCACATGCTCTTTGCTCAATAGGAAGATATGTTTCAAAACATTCAAGTAGCATTTCGAGTCTTACAAACTATAATGGAGTGCTCTAGATCACAGAAATATGATTATTACCCAACACCAATGGCTAAATGGATCAAGACCAATAGAGCACAAATTTTGCATGCAGTTCTTAGGATCAATCTCTTGCATATTGAGTTAAAAGGATCTTGAATAAACTGTCTGGGAAAGAACTGTCTGTGATCTTGAGAGAGTCACAGACCACACTGGGCTAAGTGGACCAGTGACTTTAACTCAAGCTAAAGCAACTTTAATTCAAGTCTAAAATAGTCAACAATCATTAACTGGCTGGTGAGTATCACTAGAAAGGCTCTCTGGGTTCAGCAAATTCTTTTTTTATGGAGAGGCCATGCTGTCTTACACATCATGCTGAGTAGCAATACAGAAAAGTGATCAAGGTTGAAGTAAGCAAAATTCATTTCCTAGAAGTTAGATGTAAAGTAATGGCTAGACTTCTGAAAGAAGGGGGCATTTGGGGCTTTGTTGTCACCAACAGCATCTGAAGTGGTATACCTGAATCAGTACTATACCAGTTCTGACTTCCAAGACTCCACAATGAAGAAAAATGTGCACACACCTAACATGTTGAATCTTAGTGTGGTACAGTGGCTGACGCTGCAATCCTGTGTACATCTGCTGAAATCTAAGTCCAACAGAGTTCAGTGAGGATTAACCCCAAGAAAGAGGTACAGGACTGCAACCTAAACAACCAAACCATAAATCAAAAAGTCTCAGGTTCAAATGCTATTTTCCCTACCACATTACTTTCACTCTCAGTTCTCCAGCTGCAATTTGGAAATAATATTGACCAACCTCACAGAGTAGCAATTACAACAGAGAGCATCACAACAAGGTAACATACGCGAATCATTTTGAATTTTCAAAAGCAGTATATACAGCATTGCAACTATTAAACAGAAAATGAGCATCATTAAGAGGAAATTTAGGCTAAGCTGCATTGAAATGCTGTGTTGGATGTGCAGGGATATTCCCCACCCCCGTAGAAAAGTATTTAATCATATGAAGTCCCAGATGGAGTCTGAGATGGCATAGTTCAGACACTAGGCTGACCACTTTATCAGCTGTTTGAAAAGTCAACAAAGCAATTTAAGAGAGCTACTCATTGCAAGAGAGCTACTCATTGCATCTCATGAAGGAAGGCTAATTCGAGGCAACTGCTTTTCCAAATACTAATAATTACTCTGTATACGTGTTATGTATGAGAAGACTGGAGTGTAAGAACTGGTGACAGATACAAACCCCTGACACTTCCACATCCAGTCCTTATAAATCGGTACTGTGGTTCCACACAGAGGAGCTGCTATTAAGCTGCTTGACCAAAACCATTTACCTCCAGTGCAGCAGAAGGCTTCTTTTTAAGTTCCTCACATTTTCGGAATTTGCAAATCTGGTGCCCAGTTTTACGATTTCTACAACTGCTGCACTGCTCACAGTTTATCCGTCTTCTGCAAGGAGGGCACATGCCACATCGTTTCCGTTTCTTTTTCCCTGAATTGATGGCAGATGCCAATTCATTCTGCATTGGGTACTCTGCTAAGCCAGCCATATGGAGTGCGCTCTCTGCCAGAAATACGCCAGCAGGGGTCATAATGAAAAGACCAGGGTTGATAGGAAAAGCCCCCAGGTAAGGAAAATCAGATGGGCTGTTCATTGCCTCAGCAGCTGAGACAGCTTCCATGTCTGAGATGCCCGTCCCATGGTCATTAGGCAAGGGAATGTGCTCCTGGACAACTCTTTTGAGAAGCTCCGTCGACTGAGCAAACTGTTGCAAGATGCTCTGTCCTTCTGCAGAAAGATCGGTTTTGCCCAGCATGTCAACGATGTTTTTGTGCTTTGAGGTAGAATTGCTTTTATCCATGGGTGCTTCGTTGCCATTGGCTATGGGGACACCTTTCTCTGAATGTTCACTTAATGAGCTGGTGCTACCAAAAGTAGAGTAGTGGGAGAGTGGTCGGGACTTCTTAAGACTTTTGTTCAAAGGTTCACTTATTATCCCACTTTTGTTTCTCCTTTCCAAATTGACCGAGGGCTGAGAGTCATCTTGACTGTTGTTTTTTCCCAACAGGCCTGTCTTAATACTAGTGTCTTGATGAGAGCCAGGATCAGACATCTTTGTTGTTTATTTGTATGTTCAATGAAGAAGAGACCAAATACAGCAACAAGCCCACTCACTGTGGAAAACAACCAACTACAAGACTAGCAACACCAATCTCCTGGAAATTTGAAAGGGATGAGGTGCTTCTTCAGTGCAATTTCAGGGCCATTACAACATGTCTTCCAGGTCTCATATATAACGTACAGCTCTGAAAGTTTAAAAAAAGGAGGGAGAAATTAGTGAAGAGTCAGTAATTCCTAAAGTAAATATAATGGCTTGTATTGGCTTTCATTTAGGTCTCCCCCTCATGATAAAATGAGCTGTCATTCATACACACACACAAACACTTCCCAATTTGATTTGTTTTTTGTAATCCAGACCTTATGGCATTTCACCTGATTGTTTCAAACTCCTGCTTGAAACATACTGCCCCACAAACATGTAGAAAATGGAAACATGGTAGATATCCGAAAACCCAGTTCCAGAAGGGTATTTCCCTGCCTCCGAACTGCATTTCTGAGTATCATTAAACCACTAGTTTTAAACTATAATATGGGTGGTTCAAACACATTTATCTATTGCCGTATTATATTGTATGTGGCTCTGCGGGCTTACGGTTTATTATTGTTCAATTTTATGTATCAAATAATGTCTACATTTGCAACTAAAGTCTTTTAAAGTCCTACATGGTTTGGGTCCAGATTACCTACAGCAACCTGTGAGTCCCCAGGTGTTTTGGCCTACAACTTCCAGAAATCTCAGCCATTTTTCCAGCTGTTAGGATTTCTGGGAGTTGAAGGCCAAAACATCTGGGGACCCACAAGTTGAGAACCACTGACCTACAAGGATCGCCTTCTCCTTTTACAGTCGTCCCTTTAGGACACTTAGGTCCTCTGAGAGGCAGTTACTCCAGCCTGCCAGAACCCAACTGGCAACCGTCACCCAGAGGACCTTTTTATCGGCTGCCCCAAGACTGTGGAATAACCTGTCAGGGGACATCCAACAGTTAAATGAAATTGAAAACACAATTGAAGACCTATCTATTTCGGCAGGCCTACCCAGCCAGTTTTAATTATGAATTTTACACTTGCATTTTTTGTTTAATCTTTGTTTTGTGTATTTTATCGAAATATGTTTTAATTGTGTATTTGGTAGAATGTTTTAGATGATTATGTGTTTTTAGCTATGTTAAACACAAAGAGAGGCAGGTACGAAATAAAACGATTGTCATTGTAGCTGTTGTTAAAAATTGGTTGTAGGTCAGTAGAGCATTTATTTTGAATGAAATAATGCCAAGTTAAAATTTTAGTGACTCCAAGTAAAACTTAGCAGCTGCCACTGCCAGCAGGAAATGCCAGGCCTTGTATAAGTTATGGATTTAGGGCTACAGTTCCCAGGAACCCATTAGCATGGCCACTAGATTTTCTAAAAACTGGACAATACTATGCAAGGCAAGAAGCTACATTTTCAAAGGGCAAGAGGAGCAGTACTCCCATTCAAAAATAAGCTGCAGACATTATACTGTAACTAGTTGTGAATCTTGTGATTCTGAAAATGCATCAGCAGTAACATATAATAGGGCAGTCTAAAGTCTAACCACCTAGGGACCTCTTTGGTTGCAGAGAGGGATGGCAAATATCCGAGCCCCTTCACCCTCAAAACAAAATCAATGCATCCAGGAAACGAAAACGTTGAAAGAAAGATGTACAAACGCAATTCACACATGAACTGCTTTTTATTCCTAACTGTGCTTTCAAATCCAGCCAAATTAAATACTCAAGTTTGGATTTTTTTTCTTGTATTTTTCTAAGAACAGAAAGATCCAACAGAACTGCTCTATAGAGGCAAATATAACATCCAAGACAAGAGATTTGTGGTTGTCAGTTATCATAGTACTGTGTTCCGTCTTCTACTATCTTTAATTCTACCTCTCCTCGTTATAGGCTAAAAAGACCTCAATTTGGTGTCCTCCAAATATATGTAACTTGAGCCACACTGGCTGGGTAAGATAAGAATTATTGATCCAACACATCTGGAGGGCACCTCAACCATGCTAGCCAGTTTTAGCTACTTGCATAAGGAGGGTCTCAAAGAGAAAATATTGAAACAATGAAAAAGAGGTTAAAAATTGAATATTACTTCAACAGAATTAGCCAGTATTTGACCAATCCACTAATTTATTGGTCTCTGCTCAGCTCCACAGATATATTTACTCCCTTTTCCCTTTCTGTCACAAATTTATGGCTTGGCTGACTCAATTCAAGATGTATGAAAATTGGAGGCCAGAGATAACAACAGTTAATCAGAGATTTCACTCCACACACACTGGCATTTCATTAGTTTGAAGAATGTGAGGGAGAATTGTAACATACACCTGTAAAACCTGGCAGGCTTTACCTTCCAACCCAGATGCACCAACATAACATGGTGGAAAATCAAGGCTCTAACCCCTCAGAGAACCTCCATGTGACAGAAGGCTCCATACTGCTGCTATATCACCCTGATGATAGTATGGTATGGATGGTGATAAAAAGAGGTAGACCTAGTTAGTTCCTTCATGCTGTTCCCCTTCACATATAGCATCCACTCACATTAACAATATCTGAATATGGTTGATCGATAAGAGGATTGAGCAGAAAACTGTGGAAAGTGATTGTTGATCATGAACACTTGCAGGAATCCACCAGTTTTCAGCATTTCCTCTCATTTCTCCAATCAATAGATCATAGACCAGATTAAAGCCTGCAAGTATGAGGATCTCTTCTAATATCATAAATACTTCATTCTTAAAAAAGAAAAATGAAACCCGGCAATCAATCTGTCCGAAAAATAATAGTTTTATCTACAGCTGAAGAGTACGATATGGCTGTAGCATACCATACTTTTCTTTTTTCTATACTGGGAGAGAAGACTTAGATGCAATTCACACCATAGATACCTAAACCATGAAATAATCTTATATAATTGTAATACAATATTTTATAACTACTTTTTCCTGCATACTGAAGACTCAGGTATATGATAATCAATCCTCAACATATCTCCTTGTGAACAGAGGAACCTTGAAATAAGATAGGGGCTAAACTCAAGGACCATCTGCAAACTAAGTACGAATCGAATCCATTCCCAGGTTCAGTAAAGTGCCAGTCCCTGTCTGCGGCACTTCACTGGCATTCAATGTGTTTGATATTCCATCTTCTCTATCACTTCATAAAACTAAGGGAAGGTTAAGCTCAAGTCTGGTTTGCAAAGCATTACTACAACAATATTATTTGTGGCATATGTGGAAAAGGCAATTTCAATAACCAGGAATGATCAAGGGCCAGCAAATGCTCTTTTAAAGCATCCAGCACTGATAATATCTTCTAGTAGTTTCAAAATGGGAGACGAGAGGTCCTACCTTTAACCTTGCCCTGGCTTTGCGGGTTCATTGCTCCTGGATGCTTCCAACCTCAAGACAAAAACACAGCCAAGTTCCCTCCCTTCTCCCCAGCCATCCATTCAAATCTGATGGGCCCCAGAGATGATGCTGACAAATCTCTTGTTTACCTTGCAATATACCAAGGGAGTACTCCTCAAGAATTCCAGCAAACACAATACAGAGCCTGTGACCAACAGTATTTGGGGGGCACTAGTCTAATGCATCCCCTTTCCTAGCAAAACGTTTAGCCAACCAAACCTTAGCTTTACTTTTGACCTCAGAGAGAGCATGCATCATAAAGCCATTCCTTAGCAATCCCCTTTGCAACTAAGCAATTTATTGTCTGAGTAGCCTTGCCCACCCATTTGCTGCAGAGACTAGAGAACCATTCCAGGACTGGAGGTAGCTCAGTCATACTCCCGGAGCCAGGAGTCAGAAAAGGTGCCTCTCGGGAAGGAAAACAACACCCATCATTCTACCCATTCCAAATGAAAGGGGTACACACACACATGTACACACGCCCATTTGAACATCTTCTTTTGTTGGTTTCTTGCCTTTCAAACATTGTTGCCTGCATCGAGAGAAGGTTTAATTTTTTAAGGCTTACATATAGTAAAAGACAACTGGTCAGTGGTTGTGCTTGACATAAAGTAAAATAAAATGTTTGACTACATTCACAATAAGATGGAAATCAAAGGATGGGGAGGTCCAGCAAATGCAGTAGAGATTTGAGAGGAATATATTAGTCAAAAACAATTCCTACAAAAACAATGAGTTTCATCCATTTCCGCTGGAATAGGATTTTAAAACAAAAACAGAACTCTTTCCTGAGGTGAACAAAAACAGATCAGGGGACAGGTTTTCCTTAATGAACCCCAACCTCTGAAAAAAAAAATGAAACTTTATTCATACCCATGTACACTTTTCACCGGCAATATAAAAACCTATGTCAATCGATTCCAAACTAAAACAAAATATTTCAACAACACCCACACCCAAATTCTGCAGAAAGAACTTGTCTACAAACACTGTAATGTTTTAAAGCCACATTGCAGAATTTTATGTTAAATTTCCTGCCTACAGAAATCTCTTAAAATCCCCCCCCCCCATTTTTTTGCATATGGACCCTGCTCCTGCAGGCAAAGACAACTGTTTTTCCATTATTTTGACTAAAGCTGTGATGCTGTGTCCAGTGGTCTTTTCAGTAGCTGTATCCTGTGTCCAATCGTAAAATTAAAACGAAATAGTTAACCTACAGAGGAAAAAGATGTTTCTGAATAAAAGAAAAATAATTGTGAAAAGATCGTATGCAATCTTTACTGTCTTATCAATTTTAAATCTAGAGTTATGCATCCCTAACTGTTCTGTATCTATGAATCATTTCATAGTTACAACTGTGTACTATTGCCACAATCATAACTGCCCTCCTAATCCAACTTTATTAGGCATCAGCCACACTGAGACAAATGGAGCTCTGACCCGTGGAGCTTAAAGGGTTCATGATGCCCTCACAGGGATTCCAAGAAGTCCTGACGAAATGTTATAAACTTTTACAGTTAAAATAGAAATATCCATGGATGGCACCCTGAAATTGCAATTCAAGGAACAGTTCCTTCCAAATTTCTGGGCTCTCTAACACAGAGATTTTTTGGAACCATTAAAAGCTATGAAAGTATTGATTCCTGTCATAAGCACATTCTTGTGTAAAAAAAGAATAATTTTCTGCTCTTGTTTACCTTAAAAACAAGAAAAGAAACAATTTGAAAAATATAAGAGAACCCAGAAAGCAAATTTCAGCTTGATCAAATTTGATTTAACAAGGCTTATAAAGTAAAATGCAGCACTAGGGTACTTATTAATGAATTAGTTAAAATTAACAAGTAATGTCTGCTGTTCAGATGTTGTCGTTGTTCTGAAATATTCCTGTATGACTAGCATATGTGTTATTCATTTATTTATTTCCTTCCTTCTCTCCATATTCAACAACCACCGAAGACCCGCTTTAGATGGGTATTTGATGCATTTTAGGGTTTTAAATCCTGAGTTTAGCCTTGGACCTCATCGACACTCATTATTTAATGCAGTTTTAAACTGGTATTGAAGAAAGCGGTTTTGCTATGACTACATAGGAAATTCTGTCCACTCCAGTTTGAAGTATTAAATGGGCAGTGTAGATGGGGGGCCTTGATAATCTGTGGTAAAACAAATATATTGAAAGGGGGTAAAAAAACAGATTACGAACCATACCTGTATAGCACATTCATGAAACCTAATGAGCAGTTTCCCAAGGCTTTTAGAGTACATATATTCCAGATGCTTTTCATTTTAAAAAATCTATTCATTCTTATTGAGAAACCTACTAGATTTGCTAGATTTTTTCACAAGTTATTGAAGCTAGAACTGTAGTCTCAGAAGTACAAATGTCTTGTTTTGCACAAGCATAACTGCAAGTATGTAACACCAAAGCAAGAATGCAGCAGATTAATGGGCAATATAATACCTTTACACCTATATCTTACTCAGTAATGGGAACTAGAAATGTTGCAGTAAATAGAATGTGTACTGTTTAGATAGAGGTAGTTTCACCCAAGACACAGTATCAAGAACTGGATTCTTTCTGTAAATACATAAACATCATCATATTGAAAAAATTTCACTAATTCCCCACCATTTTTTCATTTTTCTGCAATCTGAAAAAGATTTTGGATGAATAAAAGAGGGATTTTCCTCACTGATTTCTCTATTTTGTTTTGTGCCCCACCCCACCTGTTTAATCTAGAAGTAATTCTGAGTTCAGTAGGACTCACTGCAAGGTTAGGACCAAAACCCTGCATTACGACCTTATTTAAAAGTACGCCCCACAGAGTTCACTAAGGCTTTACTTGTGGTCATAGTCAACTAAAGCCAGATGGAAGTTCACAATTTCTGTGTCAGTTAAGACAAAACAGCTGCCACAACTCTGTTCTGTACTCACAAATATTAATGCATTAAATATTAAATACTAACATCTAAGGAGATGACTGAAAGATCTCCTTGCTCACTTGACTTCTCAAAGCATGACAGTGTGGTTAAACAATGCACAATATGTCATCCTAAAGTGGTTTTGGGAACACAAGCTATAAAGTTACAAGAAGAATCCACAGATAAATAGCAATCCCATCTTATGTCCATTCTATCCAGTTCTAAAGGAATACTACAAAATACTTTATTTGTTGTAGCCTAACATTATGTGTATTTACATATTGATTTTTGGTATATCTAAAATAATCTCAGTATTGAAAATATTCAGTTTTTCCAATAAATCCTTGTGTTTTTTTCCTCTATCCACTGCCACGGAACGTAGATGCTTTTTGGGATAAATGAAAATGGGCCTTTAAATGTTGTGGCTTCCTTGATACCCATCTTTGCATCCAAACAACCTCTTTTCTATAGATACACAAAAAGGTGTTGCTGGATAGCTTTTAAACTATCCTTAACCAGGAAAAGAAGGATTTAAAGTAAAACTCCCAGGGCCCCCTGAAAACTGTTTATTGGGAGCACAATATATGACTAACATATTCCAGGACGAAAGAAAAGGTACTAACATTTCCCAAGCTGCTGACTCTATTCCTCAACTTCTAATTCCCAAATTGGTTGTGAAAATATAATCAAGGGGGCTTTTAATCCAAGAATAAACAATAGCGTAAGCAGTCCTAACTAGGAATGGGAGAAGTTCCCCAATTATGTCTCTGGCCTTGCTGGAATTCAACTGAAATCAAAGATTTAAGTCCTGTGACTTAACTTAAAGTTAATCAGTTATTTTCGAAATTGATGCTAGTATTTACCTTAAGACTTAAGCTTGAATCAAACAGCAGCACAAAGATGTTTCACCTCTTCTTCTACCAATCACAGAAAGCCATATGGAAGTTGGCAACACATCCCTGGATGCTTCCCTAGATTTGGGGACACAAAAAAAAAAATGTTACAGCAGCAATCATGGAGGGAAAAAAGTGTGTATGGAAACACCTGCTACTTATTAATAGTGTGCAACAGGACAACTTCCCAATTTTTATAATTCACCAGAGCCTTTCTTTTCAAGAAGTGTCTTTTTTTTTCAACCAATGTAATAGAGCAGTATGTTCAGCTAGTAGGTGAAAAGATTTAGATGCTGTGAAGCACTTTACCTGTTGATTTCTGCATACCAAAACCTTGTTTAAAGGCCCAGAAGCAGACTGGGCCTTTTTATTTTTTACTATCCCTCTCCTTTTTGCCTTGTCTTTTATTCGTGTTGTATTTTGAAAAAGGTCATATGACTAGTCAAATAAATAAGTTACTACTACTACTACTACTACTACTACTACTACTATCCCATTAGCCACCCTGTTCATCACCCCTGTGAAATTTTGTAAATAATAACACTTTGTTCTTTTATTGTTCTCTATGTTTTGATTCTTCTTTCAAATCAGTATCATAATCCCAAACTCCAAAGGGTTTCTCTGAGTGCCATGTCAAAACACTCATTATGGGCATGGAAAATATGGATGAGTTACCAAATTACAATAGGCAACATGTAGATCAAACAGAGGTACTACAAACAAACAAAAACATAAGCATAGGAAGTTGTATTAATGCACAAAAAAGCTGATTGAACAAAAGCTAGATATTACCTTCCTGTGCTTATGCTGCTGCATCTTAAGCCTGGAGATGGTATACATGTAAGAAAGGCACAGGATAAAGAAAGAGCCGGATGGGGTCAGTGCAAGTGGGATGTGAGGCCATAACTGGGAGGACAGGAAGGATGGGTGGATGCCTGATAAAATGCCGGGTAAGAATGACTGTGAATGTCAGTCTGCATAATACTACACATTGTGGATGAATGAAAAAGGCCACCACCACCAGAATAATCTGCTATGCTATTATAATGCCAGGTGTCATAAGCTAACTAACTCTGAGTATTCCTTGCTTAAGAAAATCCTATCAACACAGAACTTGAAGACACACACACAGAGAGAATATAATGCTTCTTAGTCCAGCATCGCTTCAGAGGTCTAACACTACATGATAGAAAATTATGGACATTAATACAAAGGCTGCATCTACATTGTAGAATTAATGCAGTCTGACTCTACTTTAACTGCCATGGCCCAATGCTATTGAATCCTGGGAGTTGTAGTTTGATGAGGCATGAGACTTCTTTGGCAGAGAGGCCACAGACACTGTCAAACTACAGCTCCCATGATTTCACAACAATGGCTCATGGTAATTAAAGTGGTGTCAATGTAGATGCATCAAAGTATCCCCTCTTGTCTGCTGTGGTCTCATGGCAGGCTTGGATGAAAATCCCATATATAGTTTATGTAAGGAAGCTGATTTTAGAATTAACCAGTCAAAATAACAATTTCAGCTAATTAATGTGACTTCCATCTATTCCTCTCCTTACAAACCGTACCGACTTCAGAAGCTAAATAACTAAATAGAATGGATTAAAAGAAGAAACTTGCCTATGTTGTTAAAGGCTTTAATGGCTGGGATCACTGGGTTGCTTTGAGTTTTCTGGGCTGAATGGCATCTTCCAGAAGAGAGACAATCTCTCTCATCAGGAGGCAATGCTTATGGAACATGGCCATACAGTCCGGAAAACTCAAAGCAACCCAGAAACTTGATTATTCTTCTATCCTGCTTTGGGAATAGCTACAGCAGAGCGTTCCAAACTGCGTATGGCCACACATTATTGTGTTGACTAAGTGTGTATGTGTGCCATGCGAACTTAATGAGACCTCTCTGACGCTAAATAAGCAATAAATCGTGTATATTTTAAAATATAAATGAAAGGTTTTTCAGGAGGTATATTGTGTCCCCAGAATATTTCATTATTACAATTGTTTTTGTATCTCTTACAAAGGGTTGGTTTGACCTCTGGTTTGCTAGTGAAATTGAATTACAGTATCTTGTGAAATGATGCACATTTTAAAAAGTGTGTCACCAACTCAACATGAAATGTTTGGAAAGTTCTACTCTATAGGGTAGAAGCAGTGCTATCTTATTGTGCAATCCTATTTGGAAAAAAGCATATCCTTGTGCCTGCCCAACAGCTAAGATCTGCTGGGGAAGACTTTCTCATGGTCCCACACCTTAAGAGACAGAAATTTATGTTTGTTTATGACATTTATATGTCCTTAAAATCTCTCATACTAATAGAGAAAATAGAAAACTCACGGAGGTATTGGTGTCACCACTGAATCAAGTAAGTATCTCTTCTATTTGAAGTTCAACCATTTCAGATGATATAAAGATTGAGGCTTACATACAGCAGCATGAACATGAAATAACTTTCCTACAATCCCAACCCACTTCACTTGCATTTGAGCTCTACAATCCAAGCAAGTTTAGCAAGGTTCTTTGATCTGTGTATGTTTTCTGTAAACACTTTTCGGGCCTCAAACTGGTTCACAGATTTTCTCTGTAATCATCTCCACAGCTAAAATACTTTCTTCAATATCAGTTTGAAGATGAGCAATGTAGATGTTGCCCTCAGACTGAGGCTGGAACTGCCCTATATACATACATCCCAGATTATGTGCCTTGAACTGGATTATATGAGTCTACACTGTCATATAATCTGGGATAAGAAGATAATCTGGGATCAGATCCTGGGATATGAAGCAGTGTAGATCCAGCTCCAGATAATCTCAGATGCAAATGGGATGCTACTCAACATGAAGCCAGTTGACAGGTGCTTCTTGCTATAATGGTTGAACTTTTAAAGATTACTATGGGTATATCCATACTGGCACGTTTTAGCAGTTTGACATCACTTTAAACGCCCTAGCTCCATCCTGTGCAATTATAGGATTTATAGTTTTGCAACATCTTTGGCTTTCTCTGCCAAATAATGCTGGTGCCTTACCAAACTAAGAATCCTGGGACTCTGTAGAATGTAGCCATAGCAGCTATAGCGGTGTTAAACTGAAGTATTTATATTATGTATACACACTGCAAAAGTTTATTTGCTTTGAACATCAACATTAACAGTACTTTTATATATTTCAAATTCAGTCAGAGATCCCCCCTCAACCAAAAAGGTGCTATTATAAAATTCACTACCATAACATCAAAGTCACTTTGCCCAACAATAACCATTTTTATTAACAGAAACTGAAGAAAAAATCATTTTCAATCACCCACAGTTATAATTCCAGAGTCCACCTGAACACTCACATTGATTCTGTCTTCCAACAAGCACAGTCTTCCTTTTAATATAAGAATTTCTTCAAGAACATTCTCAATGCAGCTACAGAATTCTGGGAATCAACAGACGTTCCAAGAATGTGGAGGCACAACATAGACAACACCAGAGTTCTGTGCTGCTATGCCAGGCATGGGCAAACTAAGACCTGAGAGCCAGATGTGGCCCCCTGGGCCCTTCTTGCAAGCCCTCCTCATCTTCCTTCTTCTTTCAGCATAAGGACAAGGTGGCCCGCTGCATCCTTACGCAGAAACAACAAGGGAGGAAGTCACACAGCAGCTGAGAGTCTCCTGAAGCACTCTCAGCCACCACATGTCTCGCCTTGCTCCCAGTGGCCCCATCCTTATGACAAGAGGATGGCCCGAGGAAGGCACACAGCAGCTAAGAGTACTCTGGAGCACTCCAGAGTACAGCCTGAACACCGGGAGAGAAGGATCGGGACAGTTGTCACATGTCTCGTTTTCCTCTTGGTGTAAGTATGGGGCAAGGTGCCCCATACTTATGCCAGGAGGACAACCTGAGGATGACCCAGACCTTGCCCCCTTCCAGCCCCTCCCTCTCACAGGCCCTCTCCCTTCCGGCCCGGCCCTCTTGGTCGGGCCAATAATGTGGCCTCAAGGCAAAAAAGTTTGCCCATTCCTGAGCTATGCAGTAGCAAGAAATGCCATGTGCTTTATCGCAGCCAATCAGAGTGATTCGCTTATATGTTCTCGCCACATGCAGAGTAGCAAAACAGCAATTTTTTAACAATTTGAAATACCATAATGAACTTTTGTACTTATTATGTCTATCACTTGCAAATGATTCCTGCTCTTGAAATCAATGTGTGTCCGTCCATCTTTCTTTCTTTGTCTTTTTTAACTGTCAAGGCTTGTAGCATTACTTCGAGCCATCACATACTTTCTGTAAGGCAAAAGAACAATGTGGACCCCAGGGAGCTGCAGACCACAACTTAAGAATTGGTGTCTTATGTTATACGTCACTCATTCGTTTGAGTAGCATGGATATTGATGAGAGATGTTACGTTTCTGCATCTGCACCTGCTGGAACAGTGTTGCACTGCAACTCATATGCATAACTCTGTATTGCAACTCATTTCTAAGGAAATCTCTGAGAACAAAATAATGCAGTTTTAGCCATTATACCACTTAGTAGGGCTGGGCAACCACGGAAAAATTTGTTTCTAAAATCGATTTGTTTTTTGGGGGTTTTTGCGTTTTGATTTTTAAAAGAATTCCGAAATTTTTCTTTTAAAAAGTTCGATATTTACAAAACAATATGAAACAATTACGAAACACGCGACCGCGCAATACGCTAAAAAACCTCCAAATGGGACAGGGGGAACTTCTGAAGCTTCCCTCTCCCTCTGTTGTTGACTGTTGGTGTGATATTTATAAATTTTTTTCACTGATTAAACAAACAACAACTATAAAACTTGCCCCAGACATGCGGAAATAATAACGAAACGATTTCAAACTGATAACGAAACAAACGCAAAACGAATTCGAAACAATTACGAAACAAATTTAAAAATTCGTTTCGTTTTTTAGTTGCTCCTGAATGGTTCGTTATCGCTTCGTTATAAAAAAAATGAATTTTTAACGAATTACGAAATTACGAAACAAAACCGCCCAGCCCTACCACTTAGCTATTATACCACTTCTATTATTTTACAAAAAAACAGCTGAGACACTGTTGTGGAAAGTG